ACTACTCACGAAATGTGCAAAATTAGAATGAATCTTCTGCAGAACGTGGAATAATACGCCACCATATGTGTTGTCTTTTGTGCATTTGGTGAGTAAAGGCCCTTAGGGCCACTGCACGTATTCCTAAGAAAAGAAAAATGAGAAAAGAAAAGAAAAGCAAGAAAACAGAGAAATGGTGACCCATAACCTCCAGAATATATATTCTCTGCCCACCCTCAGCGAGTACAAGTTTGAAGTGTATCTCTGCGTGACGTCGGGTCCTAGCTAATATGCTGTAGGGATCCTTCCGAAAAGAGGCTGGACACAACTAGGACATTTTTGTTTTCCTATTTTTTTAATGCGCCGCATCACTTGTATGTGTGTGAGGCACCCTGCGCATGAGATACACTGCAAGCATGATTCGAACCTCTCTCTCTCTCTCTCTCTCTCTCTCTCTCTCTCTCTCTCTCTCTCACACACACAAACACACACACACACACACACGGATACAAAGGGGGTCCGAAAAGGGGTCCGAAATCCCCCGACAGGTGAGTGCGCTGGGGGGGCCCGGACCCCAACCGGGTGCCCTGCCCGGCCAGGCCGCCCGGGACCTCGCCCGGGCCCCTGCCAGTCACCCGGGTGGCCCGGATCCCCACTCAGCTTTTTTGCCCATTCTTTGTTGATGAAAAAAATCCACGGGCGGCGTTGATATGCGTCTCAACACAGTTCAACACAGATTTAACGTGGACCCCACCTTGAATCCAAATCCAGACACTCAGGTAGGCTGGCACCAGTACCCCGAGATTTTTCTTTTCATCCTGTTACTGTAGCAGTCAGGCTCGGAAACGTGCAACTTTTGGTTCGTCAATTTAGCTTTGTGTGAACTGGTGGTTTAATAAGGGCTGTGTGAGTACTTCCTCTTGGATTTTCAGTTTTCTGTGTGTGGCAATATTTCTCTCCAGGTCCTCGTCAAACTTGAGGGGCATACTGTGGCTCTGCTCAGCCAGACATGCGTTGAGAGGATCTGGCTGGTTGGCACCACTACAGATAAACACCATAGCCTAAATACGGCAGGGTAATCCTGATATTGTATAATCATCGACGTTACGATTGAACGAGTTATACTTTTTTGAAGTTTTTTCCCTCCGAAGACTCTGTTTCATTATACTTCGTTTCCACATGCTCACTATGGACTCTACAAAGTGGAAACAAAATACTATTATTAGTATTACATTTTTAGAAATTAAAAAAAATAAAATCAAAAACGTACTTGTAGGTGCTTGGCTTTGACTGTTCTTTCTTTCACGACAAAGACTGCAAACGAAGCCGCCAAATAGCAGAAGGGAATCAGCACAAACAGAGCTGCCAAAACCTGCAGTCAGTGACACAGGCAACAAATAGAACAAGTTAGCAACTTAGCATCAATCATGTAAACAGTGCAGCATCCCTGATGAGCTTCACTCTCCCATATACCAACAGGGGTTCTAAGGAAAAAACTGCAATCATTAGAAGACATTGAAGTCCTCATGTAAATATGAGATTGAAGTCAGTGAGCCACGGACCTGAAAACTGCGCCCTCAGCCAGCAAGCCGAAGCCAGGTAATGGCCCCGGTAGTCAAATGTAGTCCAAAAGGATGCTTTTGTTGTACCTAGGACACTGGACCCGGTTTCCAGCACCAGGCCTACTAGGAGAAGTCACTCATCTCACTTCCCCTAGCAGGCTCAGGCCAGTTAAAAAAAAAAAAAAAAAAAAGGTTTTCGGCCTCACCTTTTCTGAAACAAGCGGACTTTTTCGAAAGACCAAAACTGAAACCATACTATCCTGAATTTATCGCAAAGAAATAATACTTAGGTGTAAGACGGGTGGTATGCAGTTTGTCTGTCTGCAGTGGGTATGGGTCCACATGTCCTAATGTGGACCCGGAGGTTCCCAAAAAAATGTGTTTTGAATCTTTGCTTTTGTTTATAACATTTGGCTGTAAACTTGAAAATCACCTCAGCCAAAAGTTGTTTGTATTGCAATGCTCAACAACATCTCTGTTTGCCAGAATTTTTACAATCCTTTTTGGAAAATCAAGAGTTAGAAATGATTTTCATTTTGGTTTCTAACTTTCTAGTACTTTCTACCCAATCAGGACAGATAGGAGTGGTTTCAGAAAAGTTACCTCACACTCTCCCAGGCTGTTGGTAGAATCCCGAGGAAACTAGCGAAACAAGCACTTGAGATAGCCCTTAAGACTGCCAAGAAAAAATCTGATTGACAACCTGTCTTCCTCTCTCTATACAGAGATTTTTGAAAGGCAAGAAAGGAGCTGGCCCTGTGGAGATGGTGGGAGCTGAAGGGTCTGCAAATTAGAGCGGGTTTAGCCGGTAGGCCGAAGGAACGATCTTGGAATGTTTTAGCAAACCCACATACGTAGCGATACTCGTTTAAAAGAGTTCCCGCTAGTGCTAGACTCAGCATTGGGCCTAGCACTATTGGTCATGGTATTTCGGGAGATTCAGGAATTGAGGCCAGCAGGTGCCAGCGCAGGAGTATTGGAGCTGCTTGAAGAAGCTGAGAGGTTGAGAGCCTAGTGGGGCTATCCCCCTTGGTTTTGCTGACGATCCCAACTACGGGCCCGATTAGCAGGGCCTACGAGGTGCTGACAGCCGCAACAACCTCCTCCCTTCCCTATTTTTATTGCATTTTTTCGCCTTTTTAATTGTCCTTTGGGACATCCGTTAAAATTATAACACTGGTTCCTGTGTGTTCAGGATGCTGGCGGAGTTCTTCTATCCTGCCGGTCTTGAAACACGGAGCAGGGAGTCAACATGCATGCGATCGACAGCCAGCGAGGTGGAAGAAACCCGAGTGGCAGGAACCTTCTGCGGGTGCACCACCCGCCAACCACGATCTATAGCGAAAGTTGAGGCGAGAGCATGCCTGAGGGGCAGGTGTCTACGCTGGTTATGAGGCCAGCGATGAGACCCACTGGCTTAGCTCAGAGGGTACACCCATGAGCTGTAATAGCGAAGACTTGAGTATGAACCCCACAGGGAACAGATGAGTAAGAAACTCCACAAATTCAGGACTCCCTGGGTCACAGCGGAGTCATTTTTATAGTTCCAGCAGGGCCAGCGGCCTCATCTTGGTTGATACACCTATAGACTACTGAAATACAAATCCGGCCTCGGATCTGATTTTGCATCGTCCCGCTGTGGAACTGTTGTTTTGTCCTTCAGGACATCCATTAAAATTGGAACGATACAGAGAAGATTAGCATGGTCCCTGCGCAAAGGATAACACACATAAATTGAGAGTCCGGCATAGTTTCGTTTTTCCTTGTGAAGCACTTCGAGCGGACAACTGCTGCAAAGTTGCATGCTGAGAAAGATGAAGGGGTAGGTAGGTTGATGATGAAGAGTTAGTGGAAGAAACGAGGGACAAAGAAGTTGGGGCGCTCGTGTTTGGCAGCTGGAGATAGCAACACGAATGTACCTACCCATGTTTTAGTGGTAGGTTCGTTCCCGTTTTTTTTGCACACTCGGTGAGTGAGGGAGTGGGGCAACGCTGATTGTTATCGCACTTCGTCGTGATCATGTTCTGCAACGTACCTGCCCGAGTTCTAGCAGGAGAATTATTCTTCTTTCGCTCGGCGGATGAGAAGCGGGGCGATGCCGCTGCTACCGTGTCCGCAATGAAAGAGTGTGGCACGATGTAGTTGAAATCCCAACTTCGTCCTCGAGTTTTCCGTCGTAGAAGCGCTGGCCGTTGTTGCATTCCTGGCACAGCTCAGTATCACAGTCGAAGATCTTGGCGATCTCTGCGCGCTGCACCTCATGACCATCGTTGCGTTGTTCAGGCCGTTTGTATTGCTTTGTCGATGGAACTCACCTGGTCGTGGCTCTAAACAGATTCATTGGGGGCAGTGTAAGAGAAAGGCGGGGCGCGAGAGAAGTGGGAGCACAAGGAGGGAGCTGCGTGGACCTCGACACAGGGCGATACTCCACGAACAAGGCGACAGCGACAGCAAAATATGTTGGCACATCCTGTCGTGTTTCCGCACAAGGTTAGTACGCATGATTACACGTTTGGAGAGTGAACAGATCGTGACCTTCGTCGTTGTAGTCATGATTGCCATTCCTATCGGGTATATGCTACATCGTAGTCCTCGCTCCCGCAGTCTCCTGCCATAGAAGTTTTTTACTATTGTGATCATGTTGCCATAATCACCGTGGGGCATATCGCGTTCATCACGTTCGTTATTACGATTCTCATCTTCGCAGTAACGTGTGTGGTGCCGACAGGGGACCGCTTCCGTGGAACTTGACGGCGAGTCCAGCCAGGCACATTGAAGGAGAACAGAAGCTGCACGGCAGTATATCTGCTCATGTTCTAGCAAGAGATCCATTGCCAGTTCACATGTGCAGCAGATAGTGTGCGTGTGTACGTGCACGCGAGGGAGAGAAGAACACTTACATGGCCAAGCTCCAATGAAAGGTTCGCCACGTTTTGGACCCGGCGCAGCCGGCCAAATGAGGTGCAGTGGGCACGGCAATAGGTGCAGCCGCGCGAGAGAGAGATCATCTGGTTGGCTGGAGCTGTGTGCACAGCCCTGCGCCATGATGCTTTGCACCTGACCATGTTCTAACGAAGCTCTGTTTTCAGATTCCGCACGTATAGGTGAATGTATGCAGCTCAGCATATGTCCTCGTAGTTCAGCCTGTGTTTTCATGGCCCAGCCCGTGGGCTTCAGCAACTGCATGTCTATGCAAGTGCCATTCTGGCTGCTAATGGGAGTGAGAGCATGTACCTGATTTTAGCAATGGCCCGTTCTGTCGACGTCTGCGATTACTTTGATTGATGTTGCCGTTCGTATTGCTGTTTGCAGCCACCTTTGTAGCCGTACTGCTGACTCGCTTCCGAGTTGTCACTAGTTGCGTCTTTGGGCCACAGCCTACGTTTTGGGGTCATTGCTAGTAGGTTGTAAAGTAGGTCACCGCTGCGATTTGGGGGATCGTCAGGAGGTCACCACTGCAACTTGGAGGGTCGTCAGAGCACAGGTGATCCGCGGTTTGGACAACGGTTCGCCCATCCTACTGCGTTTTTTGGCCACCATTGCGGAGCCCTCAGGTGCGTTAAGGTTTCAAGGGCCTCTCACACAAGTCTGAGTACACCGCTCTTATATCTGAGAAACTAAGAACTTTTCTCTCTGTCCGCTCTTATATCCTAGGTTGTTGGATCGGACGTTCGGGACCCCCCTGACCGTCCGGGATGTCCGACCGGACGTCTGGTCGGATGTCCGAGCGGACAGGGGGTGTCCAACCTAGCGCAAAAAAAAAAAAAAAAAAAAGAGTTCTCCGAAAAATCTGAAAAAAAATATATGTTATGTGACATAACAATACGAGCAACTTTTGCCTTGGAGTCATGTTCAAATTCGCAGTCAATCATGAGTTAAAAATCGAAAACCAAAAAAATATATATATATTGTTTTTACGAAAAAACAGAACTTTTTTTCCCGGACGACGGGGGTACCGGACGTATGGGGGAGACGTCCGGGGAAGACGACCGGCCCCCGAACCATTGGTAACCTAGCTTATATCTAAGAAACTAAGAACTTTTCTCTCTGTCGTTCTCACTCTCAGTCTAGTCTATTGGTTCAGACAGGAAGGTGGCAGGCGGGATTGAAACCCATAATCTGTGCGAAGGCCTCTGTGGGAGGTTCACCCCACCGATTGCAGGAGCTTTGTCGGAACCTAGGCGCGGTTCTGGAGGCAGAGAACTATCAGGTATACCTTATTTTGCCTGTGTGAACCCACTATACCCCTATTACGACATCTCTCTACTTTTGTCTAAGAGATATGCATGTGTTCCTTTATTGATTTTTTTCTTTCTCATAACTTAATCAGATTAATTGGAAGTAACGCATGCATAAATTTAAGATTCTTTCTATTTTGACTGAATCAAACTAAGGGATGAACAAGGGGAAGGTGGGAGGAAGGCAATTTTGCATGTGTTTGACCGGGTCTCAAAGGCTCGCCATTGTTTCTAAGTTGAACGTCCCAGTGCTATGTTTATTGTTGTTTTTTTAAGGACCAGGCATTATTTCTAAGTTGAATGGCCTGGTTGTTGTGTTTAGTTTTAGAAGGTTTGCCTGGTTGATCTTCGAGACCAAGCATTGTTTCTAAGCTGAATGGCTTGGTCTATCTGTTTCTTTTGGGGTTTCTGACTGAGGTTGGGTATTGTTTCCAAGCTGAATGGCCCGACTTCATGCTTTTGTGTGACTTAAGATAGACTAGACATTGTTCCAAGCCGAATGGTTCAGTCTCTTGTTTCAATCTGAGGGAGAATTTTGGCAAAGGGCTAAGCATTGTTTCCAGGTCGAATGG